GCGCAGCACGCGCACCTCATAGCGCATGCACACGCGGCGGCGGCCGCCGCCGCTTCCCCGAGCTCGCACCTCGTGCCGTGCTCGAGCCCGGGCCCGATGCTCGCCGGAGGCCCATACCAGCAATCATGCCCCTCGCCTCTGCCGCCCCATCATGCCGCCTATCATCCCCATATGTCGCACTCGCACCCCCAACGGTAGTACGCGCTCGCCGCTCGTCGGCCCTTCGCGCTCCATCCTCCCTTCCCGCCGCATTTCACCTTTTAGGACGTTCCAAATTCGAAGCAATTGCTTCAAACAATTTGCATCACGTCGCGAACGTTCCCGACATCATCATCAGCGGTGCTGATGATGCCGAAACGCGTGAAATTGCCGTGAGTCTTCATGCACTACTGTATTCGGAAGAGAGAGATTTATCTCGTGTTGATCTCGTGGATTCGGTTTGATAGAGCAACGCGAGTAGTAACGGTTTATTGTTATTTACAAGAAAATTTGTGCAATTTATGTTACGTACGAATTGAATTAGATGTCGCGAAACATTGTGCGGTGCGTGTTGGTTGTCGAATTATATTTCATTTTGAGCGCGGAGTTAAAAAAAATCATTAATTAACAAGCGGTCCAATTTGGCGAAGATTTTAGAGCCCAGATTGCTACAAAACGAAACAAATCGTCGTTTAGATGTCCGCGCGTAACGTTTTTCGTATTTTTTAAATATGCTTCGGCACCCTGCAAATTTTTGGTGCGTGTTCGGGTCATTTTTCACAATTAACTCTGCTTTCCTGAGAAATACGGTGTATTTTAACGTACGCCAACGCGAGGTCGCGCGCGGCTTGTAGATATACTGAAATAATTTCTCTTTGGGCATATACCACTGACGTAATTTCCCTTTAGACGATGTATTACTTGTATCGCGCCGGCGAGCGTGCCGTAGAGTCACGTATGGTATTTATTAAATTATATACGATGGGCGCGCAAAAGATTGTAGGCTTCCCTTGCGATCGAGTATTCTTCAACGTTTGGTCTTATATGCACTGGAAAAAAATTCACTAAATCTGAAGACATATTTCTTTGAATAGTACTAACTAAACATTTACTTTTAGTAAATAAATATTTACTTAAAATAAAAAAAATGACAGTTAAGTCAAATGGTTTTTGTATCGAATGAATATATCTTTACATATCCAATGAATATATATTTATATATTTATAAGTAAATATTTACTTAGAACTATTCAAATAAATATTCTTCTTATTATAATTTAATATTTTTTTTCAGTGTGATCACACGATCGATTTCCGCGCGCGCAAATCTAGTCCAATCTTTCGACACGTTTTTATTCAAATGTATATACTTAAATATATATTCACGCGTGTTACATACATATATGTATGTAAATATATGTATATTGCCTTCTTATATATACATGGTCTATCTAAAAAGTTACCGAACTTTTTTTCTACATGTCATCTAAGGTTATATTATCTATTGAAATAGTGTGAAATGATTTCTATGCGTTATATAATTTATTTATTATGTCGTTAAAAGTGAAAATTTTTTTCTTCATTGACATTCGTCAAGAAAAATGATTGAACAACATATTGAACAGTGTTCATAAAAGATGTGTTTGATCGTCTACTGTATTCATTTTCATTCTTTTTCCAAAGTTGAAAACGAAGAGATATTCTAATACAATTTTTAAAATTGTAAAAATGGTACAAATGGTTTCGAATTAGGTTTTTTTTTTTTCGTTTTGAAAATGTGTACAATTAAAAAAATTGTACAACAGCTATACAGACTCTTATTACTCCAGATGGGATACATTTTGAATAATTAATAAATACAATTAGAAAAATCACACAAGTAATTGAATTTTAAATAAAGTTCGAAAACTTTTGAGACAGATTGTGTATATGTACACATTGGTGAATCTCGATTAAATATTGCGTGCTTTGAATTTTGCGATCTCGCGCGCGAAAGGGTGGAACGACGGAAGCGCGTTGTATAATTGAAATGTGAAAAATAGAGTGATTTCTATTTTGCAACGATCACATAACGAAAGAATGCAAGTCCGCCGTCAGCGGTTTTAGAAACAAATCGCAGACGGATCGTGATCGATGATCGCGGAAATCGGATTGAGCGGATTGTCGATGAGATGAGTGTCGTTCAATATCTATATGGTCAGATTTCCGTGGTAGGCGAAGTCCAAAGCTCGGCATATTAGATGAAATACGGTAGTATTTGCATCAACGAGAGTCACCGTGCGATAGAAAGACATTACGAGGAAAAATATCGTTATTATATATAATTAATGGATTAATTAATTAATTATTTTATAGATTATATCAATATATAGCGTAACACATCGTGTGATCAATTACTCGGTGAAAGTAATGATAGAATTTCGAGTACTCCATTTAGTACTTGTTCGTCCAACAGCTCTCTATTTTCTTTGTCTCTTTCGTTATTTTTTTGTTCACTTTTTTTTTATTTAACTTAAATATCGTATTATTTATTGAGGAAGTCGACATTTTTTTATTTATTAAAAGAAAAAAGGCATATCGTTATTGTAAGCCGGTGTTGTTCGCAGCGCCGGTGTCGATACTCTTTTTTTTTTTTTTATATCGTATACTTTACATGCGTTATTTAGAAAATACTCTTTTTGTCTCTCTTCGCGAGGGATATTTGAAGTACTTATTTATCTCTATTGGTCTTATCGAGGAGAGAAAAATCACTATTCGAACAAATCATGCGACAACGATTCGATTCATCGAATCGGTGGTGTGAGTGCGAATTCGGTGGTGCACGCTTAATACTGTAACGCATTTCCTTTTTTTTTTATTGAGCATTGTTGTGTCTCGTCCATTGTTTCTTTTCTTTTTTTTTTATTGTTTGCCGTGTAACGTGTTGTGCATCGCAACTGGCATGTGTAGTTATTTGGATTGTCTTTTCTCGCAGAATAAGTAGCTAGTATTTAGATTACCTTTTAATTTAATCCACCCTTCCTCCCCACAATCTCTCCTGTATATCCCGTATCAATCCCATTCATCGACATTGTGCATGCGTACGTATGTATGTATTATTTGCTGATATTTTCTGTGTATTATATATCGTGGGAAAGAGAACCGAGGAGAAGGCAAAGGTAAAAAGAAGAACAAGGCCGGGAAGCGAGGGCCTTTAGGCCCCAATCAAATAGATATATATAGAAACTGTAATCTACCACGCGTCTCGACATGCAGAGAGTACAAATAATAATAATAATAATATCGATTATGATTTTAACGATAATCTGCGAATAATGCGGCTCTTTCACATGATTAGTTTGTATTTTAGCATTTTTGTACATAGCATAGTAACTGTAAAAAATACTGTGATAATATTTATATATTTTTACGCCTATGAAAACACACACACACACACACACACACACACAAATTTCACCTTTATCATCTTTGACAATATAGTCCCTGCGATCAAGTGACTTGACTTGATTTTCTGCTGATAGATTCTCATTGTGCACAATTTTACCGATGTCATGTTTACTCTCGCGGGCCAGGTAGGTATTTGACAAAATTTATAGTTTCTTCTGCGAATTCGTATTAATTTTTAACTGAAAAACTTCTGTTCACTAATTGTTAACTGAAAATTATGCGAGATAAGCTTTTTTCTATTTTCAAGTAAATATAACGGAGAAATTTCAGAGATAAGAATCTCACGAAAGTGTGGAGAAGTAAAATAGAATATTTTTCACGATGACGTAGGAGAATTTTTTTTTCTATAATTATATGTGAAACTCTTTCGGCTGTTATTGATTGAATTTCTTGAGAGTTATTCTGACTTCTGAAATATTTCCAGATACGTTCGCGTAAACTTCTTGCGAAATACTTGGTTGAATCTTCTCGTAAAAGATTCTGAATAGTAACGGAGATGTTACAATCTTATATTTCGCGTTTCGGCCACGGGCCCGACATATACCTATTTTTGACAATCTGGTTCGGGATATATTTAGAGGTCCAGAAACATTCCGCAGTATGTTAGGGATTCCTTTATTTCTAACGGTGCGTTAGGACTATCACGTATGTTATATCGAGAGTCCAATATTATTATTGCATGGCAGAGAGTGATCTGGAAAATGACAATGTCAATTCAATGCACGGAGATGAGACAGATGCGCGCGCGAGGACGGAAGCGGAAGGTAGGTTGCGTTTCAACCAAAATAATACGCATTCGGTATATTTCTAATAGAGGCACCTGGCTATTGCTTAATGTATCTTTTTTTTACCAATTAGTTAATAATAACAATACATGTGCACGAAGAATGTCGATAAGCAGTTTAACATGATTTCGATGATATCGCGTCTCGATTGAAGTCAAACGTTAAGAAGCATCTTCGTGAAGATCGAGATCATTGAAAAAAAAAAAAAAAAGCCATCGCGATACAGCGAATAGCAGATACGTTGCATCTCTTACGCGCAATATGGATGCAGGTAATATTTATCGCATGATGTTTTGTTAGTACATTAGACAGCGTTAATAGTAAGTAATAATTAATGCAGATTACGAATATTGTATCCCAAAATACAAAACGATGCGTTGAATGTGTCCATGATTTTATTTTATGTCAGTCGACATAACGCTTTATCCAAACTTACAAACGCGAGACGTAAGTTTATATTAAGCGCGCAGCTTGTAGACTATATCTATCTCTTTTTTTTTTTTTTTTTTACGTTTGTGTGATTTTCGAGAGTAAAGTTGCGAATAACAAACGCCCTGATGCCCGGTTGAAGGAAGCGGAAGTAAAAGTTGAAGGATAAGAAACGTAAGTTTCAAGATGGCGTACGACAACATGCAGTTTATGGAGAGATCCTCATTCTTCGATTGAATGCCAACCTGTCCGCCATGAGAGACCGTTCTTCATTTTGTTTTTCAAAGAGAAAAAGGTAGCTGCAAAGTATTGATCTACAAATTGTCAGAAATTGTCGGATTTTTTTCTGATTATGCTGATTCTTCGTTCATTCCTTCGTCCATCTCTTCGGTCAGGAGGGTGTACACTTTCTCGGGGTACCTTACTCGCAGATGGCGCTCGCGTATTCCTGGATACCGGAAATGCGTATGGAGCTTTCGGTACCCCGAGGGCAACTGTGAGGTCAAAGCACGGTTTATGATTTAATGGGCGTAACGATGCCCAAGAATGCCGTCTCATTCGTTCGTTTGTTCGTTCGATTGTTCGTTCGCCAGGGTTGCAGACGAAGAAGACGCGCGTCCAGGTGTATCGCCTCGCAGGAGAGAGAGAGGGAGAGAGAGAGAGAGAGAGGGGGGGGAGGGGAGGTAAACGCGAGGGAGGGAGAGAAAGAGAGAGGAAATAGAGAACGGGCCTCGCGAGATGCCTCCGCGAGGGAGACTGAAAAAGAGAGAGAGAGGGGGGGAGAGAGAGAGAGGGAACGAGACCGCGCACTCACGCACGTACGCACGTACGCACGCACGAAAGGTGGAAGCGGAGTTCCATATACGGTCACCTTTGTCAAAGCCCGGTTGTCGCCATATACAGGCAATGTTCGCGATGGCAGACACTTATATAGAGCCCGAGTTAAGAGTCAGGAATGTTGCTTTTTGTCGCGCCTTCTCTACACATACACGCGCACCCTCCTGCCTGTTCCGCGGTAAATGGCGGGGTAGGAAAAGCGGTGTGAGAAACGCACGGCGCGTAGACGGAAGCGGGAGAGCGCGGCCGTGACTTTTCGAGCTTTCCAAATGGTACCGCACTTTCTCGATTTCCCGCGTACGAACGATTTGACGAGCATGTGAGATTCGCACACGCATTCCAGCCGCATCCGTTGGATAGGATGATCGGAGCAAATTGCAAGACGAAAAAACGTGTATTCTTCTTCAACTCGAGTCGTGAGATCTTTAACAATAGAGTTTACAGTAATGTAACTGGGGAAATTAATTTTTTTGCAATTCTGTATATATTTAAACGACGTATGTGGCTAAAAATGTTACTGGCAGTGAAGAGTCTGAAGATTTGGAATTTCTTATGACGAGAGGAGATTCTTTTGACCTTCGTAAAAGAAGAATCGATCAGTTATAATATTTACAAATTTATTACACATATTTACTCAATATTTACTCACGTAAATACGGTAGAACTGTAATGGTAAAGTATATCGTTCGGATTTCTTTCATATTTACGTCAATTACAGTTATAACAATTGTCAGCTTTCACGACAAAAATAAATAAATTCTAGTAGTCAACGTTTAACCGACAGGTGAAACAGATGAAAGCCGAAATCTTAGTATAATACATTACTCGAAGTGATAAGGAACATGAGATTAAGCTGGAGCACAACTTTGCATAACGCATAATGCATAAAGTATAAGAGAATTGACCAATCAGAGTCTTTCCTTTCCATTAAATGAAAAATTCTGATTGGTTGATTCTCTTATGGGCTTTCTACAATTACAGTCGAAAAAAATCATTGACTGTGATTGGTCAACTTCTTACGGCTTAAGACTTATTAAAGCTTATGTAATGGTTTATTATAGAGAGCCCACGAAAGACTGCGATTGGTTGATTCTCTGTGCTCCGGTCTGTGCACGCATTATACTCTTCCGCTTGTCGAGCAAACTCTGCTACGAGTTCCCGTCGCGAAAACGCGTCGGGGCGGGAAAGTTCTCTCGCAAGAAGCGGACTCTCCCGGTTTCGAGGGAGAATCCTCGTCGCGAGCGAATCCGCGAAGAGGACACCTCTTTTCCGCGGGCGCATCGCGCGTACTCGCGCGAGTGGAGTCCGCGAGAGATGGCCATATAAGGAGCGCGAACAAGATGCTCGCGCATCTCTCTCTCTCTCTCTCTCCGTCCGCTAGGTAGGTAGGTAGGTAGGTAGGTAGGTAGGTAGGTAGGTTGGTAGGTAGGTAGGTAGGTAGGTAGGTAGGTAGATAGGTAGGTACACACGTTTGTTGCATGTACGTACTTATGTATCATTCGGTAGCGTATCTACGTTTCTCTGCTTGCGTCGCTGTTGTCGTTCGGACTGAGAACTGATCCTCTTTGCGAGAGAATAACGTACCCCCGCGTTTACGTATCCAATCCGCTCCGATCCCACCCTCGCCCTGTACCGCTGACGACGAATCGCATTCGAGGCGGATACTCGATAATATCGCTCTTCTCTTCCTTGGTTCCAGGAGGAAGGCGCGTCGCCCAGATCCGACGTCTGCGCCAACGAGAGCGACGGCGAGAGCAGCGATGGTGACTCTCCCGTCGTCCCTAAGGATCCTCTCAAGATTACCAATCACTCGGGTGAGTCTCGCCGTAGGATCGCGAGGATCGCCGGGGAACGGCTGTGCTTGGATTAGAATTTCGTGAAGCCTGGCTTCTCTCATCCTCCCCTATGAACCCTGGTACGCGTGGAATATACTGTACGCTTTCTAAGATATTAGGGAGCGGTATTTATAGTCCGTTATTATTTCAAGACTGTCCTAAGTAATGTCTTAAGACGCTGTCTGAATACGGCCCTCTGGCCGGTATTCATCAGTCAGTTCTTATATTCAACACTGTCTAAGTTCAGTCTTGAAGTGTCACGAATCAATCAGAGAGCATAATAAAAGGAACAGGGGACAGAGAACAGAAAATAAGAATTTCAACCTATCAGAAATTATGTATTGTGAAATACACAGTTTCTGATAGATTGAAATTCTGATTTTCTGTTCTCTGTTCCCTGTTTCCTTTTATTGTGCGGAGACCCTTAGTGTCTTAAGACATTACTTAAGAAGACA